GACGGGTCCACGTGGCATCAAACCGTCGGTTTCGAAATTGCGGTTTCGGTTCGATTTTCTGGTTTGACGGTTTTTGCTTACAGCCCTACGATGACTAGAATCATCGAACAGTCATTAGGGTGCTTGCAGACCCTGAATCCATGAGAAATAATCACTCTCTAGAATCAATATACAATACATGCCCAGTTAGACTTGAATACAAGTTTTTTGTGTATTGCAACAGCATCAATGTCATTCCCCTACAAACTCATTTCCATTAAATGGTTTTTTTCTTGGCTATATTAGTCTTTCCATTCCTCGAATCTCATCATCCCACTTAAAGTGAATATCTTGATTTTATTTTTTTCCCCCAATCTATCTAATAGACATTGAAAACGTTGAAAAGTGATTTTCAAAGTCTATGTATCTAATTCATATCGAGTTTCTCAAATTGCTACCCAAGAATCTCACTAGCGGGCTTTTCATTTATAACTTTACCTAAATTAGCTCCAAAATCAAGATTAAAAGGAGGAAAACAATCCATGTGAGATTCCATCTCAACATCAAATTCAAAATCTGACGGTTCCGTGCAGGCCCATCCGTGCAAACCATGGTTGGCCTACTCCACCAAAGACAGAGCTGCTCTACTTCTGGCGTGCACCATGTGCCCTCTACCGATTAGAAAACCCAAAGATCTTGTTGTTGGGTCATCACAGACATTTGTCGGCAAATTCATCATCATGGGTCATCTCTTCTCTATACTGCACTTTGCCTACAAAATTCTCATACAAGTTGTGACATATGACAGAATATTAGCGTGCTCTGATACGAATATGATGTAGCCAAAAAAAATGAGAAGTAAGAACACAAATTCAATNAAAAAGTTTGGGAGTATAATTACAATTTCTTTTTTATATTTCTTTTCATTTTATTTGTTTTATTTAAATTTGAGGGTATAATGGTCATTTTACACTGAAAAATAGTGGAAATGATGTTTTCCACACTGAAACGTTGAAATAGGGGCAAAAATGCAAAAAAATGAAACGTTGGGACGTTTTGCACACTAACTATCAAACGTAGGGACGTTTTGTGCTAATAAGCCTTTTTTGTGTATTGCAACAGCATCAATGTCATTCCCCTACAAACTCATTTCCATTAAATGGCTTTTTTCTTGGCTATATTAGTCTTTCCATTCCTCGAATCTCATCATCCCACTTAAAGTGAATATCTTGATTTTATTTTTTTTCCCCCAATCTATCTAATAGACATTGAAAACGTTGAAAAGTGATTTTCAAAGTCTCTGTATCTAATTCATATCGAGTTTCTCAAATTGCTACCCAAGAATCTCACTAGCGGGCTTTTCATTTATAACTTTACCTAAATTAGCTCCAAAATCAAGATTAAAAGGAGGAAACCAATCCATGTGAGATTCCATCTCAACCTCAAATTCAAAATCTGACGGTTCCGTGCAGGCCCATCCGTGCAAACCATGGTTGGCCTACTCTACTTCTGGCGTGCACCATGTGCCCTCTACCGATTAGAAAACCCAAAGATCTTGTTGTTGGGTCATCACAGACATTTGTCGGCAAATTCATCATCATGGGTCATCTCTTCTCTATACTGCCCTTTGCCTACAAAATTCTCATACAAGTTGTGACATATGACAGAATAGCGTGCTCTGATACCAATATGATGTAGCCAAAAAAAGTGAGAAGTAAGAACACAAATTCAATCTCACTCATTGATATATTGAACTATGTGAGAGAAAACTCCACAAAACATTATTAATTCATCTAAAACAACTAAAAAATAATTAAATCTTAAAAGAGTTTAAATGGTGAGAAATACTAGAAAAATAAGGATAAAAATACTGTGTGACAAAATAAACTATGTGCAATGAAATAAAGCACATGGACAATATTATAACGTGCTTTCTGCACTATATGGTCCACATGTTTTGAGTTGAATTTAAAAATAAAGTACGCGTTAGCTGTCTAATCTATACAGCTCTCTACCCATTTTTTTTTTTTTGTATTCAAAATTACTTTCGGACAGAACTTTTCACTTTCTTGTTACAATGCCCATGTCTGGCCATTAGTTTTTAAAATTTATTTTTTCTAAAATTCATTTTCAATTACATGTTTCATAGATATCGCAACTTTTAACAATTTTTCAATCACATATTTAATCATTTTTTTAATCAAAATTTAATAAAAAAAATTAATTTATATCCAAACTAAACAGGAATATGTACATGTATATGATCAAGTGTGGGTAAAAGTTATCTGTATAGTTAGATACTCTATTTGCATCGATAAATGAACTTGAGCATCTAATTGAAGGAATTGAATTCCAAACTGGACTGGGCCCACATATGTAACCTTCGATTGAATGTTAAAATTAAATGCGTTTTGGGCATGATTAAAATCTAATTTTAATTTAAGTCAAAGTCAAAAAATCAATATTAACCACATCTTTCATGAGTCTCACATCTTTTCAACCACATATTTCAAAAACTTCTATCACAATCCACTAAAAATATAATTTTAATCACCACCAAACACCCTCTAAAGTTGAGTTATTTACCACCTAGATATGAGGGAAAATTGATGGGTCCCTACTCCATTGATTGAGTTCATATTAGTCCCCCAACCTTTGACATGGTTGAACCATCGATCTCTAATAATTGACGATGTTCCAAACTTTGTTGAACGGTCATATGCAGGGGCGGACCCAGCACTCAGCGAGCCCCCGCGGCCACCCGTGTTGAATCCGTCGAGAACAATTTTTTTTGGTTGACAATGAATAAATGTTCTAGATTATATACCTTGTAATTTGTTTTATTTTCCAATGTTTCTTGTAGCTTAACTGGGTAAAGCTCCTATATTCATATAGGAGATCGTGTTTTCAAATCTGTTTCCCATCGTTTTTATTGTGTAAGATTTTTAATACTTTAATTTTTACCTTTTACCAAAATTAAATGGGATGAAGAGGTGATTTGAAATTGTCATCCCTCCTTAGAATAATTGGAGCTTGAACATTGTGGCACTTCTTGAATTTGATTCTAAATCTACCAAAATAATATATCTTACATTTTAGCGGGGTTAATGCAATTCTAAAAATTTGAACTCATGCTCTTCCTTTAAATTATACAAAACTTGGTCATAATATTATTTAGTGAATATTGCTAATTTTTTACAACAAAATTATATATGTT